AGAGTGCCAGCATGTCCTCCTTTTGTTCAATATATTGATACATAACAAAATTTCAGTAGTATTGATACCCCAGGCTGACTCCTCTAACTAAATTATTTGACCGTATCAACCAAAACTGACCATACTTGCACTTTATTTTGTAAATCTATATAGCCACATAGTAAATCAGCAACTATTTTTATGTCAGGATTTAATGTATAATACAAATGACAGCAATATTGGAACACACCAACAACAAAATTTTGTCCGCATAAATTTAGAGTGCCAACATGTCCTCCTTTTTGTTCAATATACATAATATATTGATACATAACTAAATTTTAGTAGTTTTGATACCCCAGGCTGACTCCTCTAACAACATTATTTGACCGTATCAACCAAAACTGACCATATTTGCACTTTATTCTGTAAATCTATATAGCCACATAGTAAATCAGCAACTATTTTTATGTCAGGATTTAATGTATAATACAAATGACAGCAATATTGGAACATAATGTGAATACAAAATTTTGTCCGTATGAATCTAGATTGCAAGCATGTCCTCTTTTAATCAAAATATTGTCTCGCAACAAAATTTCAGTAGCTTTGATACCTCAGGCTGACTCCTATACCAAATTATTTGACCGTAACAACCAAAACTGACCATATTTGCACTTTATTTTGTAAATCTATATAGCCGCATAGTAAATCAGCAACTATTTTTATGTCAGGATTTAATGTATAATACAAATGACAGCAATATTGGAACACAACAACTACAAATGTTTGTCCTCATACATTTAGAGTGCCAGCATGTCCTCCTTTTGTTCAATATATTGATACGTAACAAAATTTCAGTAGTATTGATACCCCAGGCTGACTCCTCTAACAAAATTATTTGACCGTATCAACCAAAACTGACCATATTTGCACTTTATTTTGTAAATCTATATAGCCACATAGTAAATCAGCAACTATTTTTATGTCAGGATTTAATGTATAATACAAATGACAGCAATATTGGAACACAACAACTACAAAATTTTGTCCGCATAAATTTAGAGTGCCAACATGTCCTCCTTTTGTTCAATATACATGATATATTGATACATAACTAAATTTCAGTAGTTTTGATACCCCAGGCTGACTTGTATAGCAAAATTATTTGACCGCTTTAATCAAAACTGGCCATATTTGCACTTTATTTTGTAAATCTATATAGCCGCATAGTAAATCAGCAACTATTTTTATGTCAGGATTTAATGTATAATACAAATGACAGCAATATTGGAACATAATGTGAATACAAAATTTTGTCCGTATCAATCTAGATTGCAAGCATGTCCTCTTTTTAATCAAAATATTGTCTCGCAACAAAATTTCAGTAGTTTTGATACCTCAGGCTGACTCCTATACCAAATTATTTGACCGTAACAACCAAAACTGACCATATTTGCACTTTATTTTGTAAATCTATATAGCCGCATAGTAAATCAGCAACTATTTTTATGTCAGGATTTAATGTATAATACAAATGACAGCAATATTGGAACACAACAACTACAAATTTTTGTCCGCATACATTTAGAGTGCCAGCATGTCCTCCTTTTGTTCAATATATTGATACGTAACAAAATTTCAGTAGTATTGATACCCCAGGCTGACTCCTCTAACAAAATTATTTGACCGTATCAACCAAAACTGACCATATTCGCACTTTATTTTGTAAATCTATATAGCCACATAGTAAATCAGCAACTATTTTTATGTCAGGATTTAATGTATAATAAAATTACAGCAATATTGGAACATAATGTGAATACAAAATTTTGACCGTATAAATTTAGAGTGCCAGCATGTCCTCCTTTTGTTCAATATATTGATACGTAACAAAATTTCAGTAGTTTTGATACCCCAGGCTGACTCCTATAACAAAAATATTTGACCGTATCAACCAAAATGACCATATTTGCACTTTATTTTGTAAATCTATATAGCCACATAGTAAATCAGCAACTATTTTTATGTCAGGATTTAATGTATAATACAAATGACAGCAATATTGGAACATAATGTGAATACAAAATTTTGTCCGTATAAATTTAGAGTGCCAGCATGTCCTCCTTTTGTTCAAAATATTGATATGTAACAAAATTTCAGTAGTTTTGATACCCCAGGCTGACTCCTATAACAAAATTATTTGACTGTATCAACCAAAACTGACCATATTTGCACTTTATTTTGTAAATCTATATAGCCACATAGTAAATCAGCAACTATTTTTATGTCAGGATTTAATGTATAATACAAATGACAGCAATATTGGAACACAACAACTACAAATTTTTGTCCGCATAAATTTAGAGTGCCAGCATGTCCTCCTTTACTTCAATATATTGATAGGTAACAAAATTTCAGTAGTTTTGATACCCCAGGCTGACTCCTCGTACAAAATTATTTGACCGTATCAACCAAATCTGACCATGTTTGCACTTTATTTTTTAAATCTATATAGCCGCATAGTTAATCAGCAACTAGTTTTATGTCAGGATTTAATGTACAATACAAATGACAGCAATATTGGAACACAACAACTACAAATTTTTGTCCGCATAAAGTTAGAGTGTCAGCATGTCCTCCTTTTGCTCAATATATTGATATGTAACAAAATTTCAGTACTTTTGATACCTCAGGCTGACTGGTATAGCAAAATGTTATGACCGTATCAACTAAAACTGACCATATTTTCACTTTAGTATGTAAATCTATATGGCTGCATTATATTTAATCAGAAGGTTTTTTTATGTCAGGATGTATTGTATTATAATACAAATGACAGCAATATTTGAAAACAATGGATGCAATATCTTTTCCGCATCAATTTAGATTGTCAGCATTTCATCTCTGTATTAATGATATTAGACCATCACTAAAGTTAGTAGTTCAGGATGGTGTGTATAACAGAACTATCTGACTGCATCATCCAACACTGACATGTCTGATTTCATTTTTACTTTATAATGAAAAGTATAAAAAGTTCTCTTCTGGGAATAGTATACTGTTGGTACATTATGTCGGTTGATTGATTTTGTTTGTAGCTAAACCTCAAGTGGCAACTATTTCATTCATGTGCACAACGAGTATTTTTTGTTTGGAAGTCCCATATCATCATTTTTAATCCGTAAAGACAAATCTGACGAAATTGACGAGATTGTTCATAATTATTCAACACCTTATGTATCCGGACACTGTACAATTTTCGTTAGAATATTTTGTCGAAAACAGAATCGTAAATCCAAGGCAAACAAGGTGAATTACGATGAAATATCCATGTAATGCATAAAGTTTAGTTTAGGAAGAGACTGTAAAAATTGGTGAACGAAGCAACGTCGACAATGATGTTGTTATCCCATGACATAAAAATATTGTTCCGATGAGTTGGATAACCTTTCTATCCGCCTTCTGATTAAATAAAAACTTTCCTTTCTTTAATGATAGCTGTATGTGATCACAAGTGTGTAATTTTATAGCCATTGTTTAATGTATATAAGAATACATGAAATGAAAAAAAAGATTTTTTTTTAATGTGTATAATAATCGATAGTGTCTAACAAGTAAAGAAATTTGCTATACAGGGAAAAAAGAACGATGCGATTATTGTTTACATATTAAGAGCTCAGGTCTGATATCAAAAGTCATAAACACGGTAATCTGTCATAAGCAGACCTGTTCCCAGGTCTGGTCAATAGCAGACTTGTCCACAGGTCTGGTCAGGAGCAGACCTGTCCACAGGTCTGGTCTGGAGCAGACCTGTCCACAGGTCTGGTCTGGGGCAGACCTGTCCTCAGGACTGGTCAAAAGCAGACTTGTCCACAGGTCTGGTCTGGAGCAGACCTGTCAATAGGTCTGCAGCAGTCCTAAAAAGCAGACCGTAGGTCTGGTCTACCAACGACAAAGTTAACTTGCTTGTCTGCTTAAAATTTCCCAAGTTAACTTGAAAAGCAGTCAAGAAGTCTGCTCAAAGTTAACTTTTGTACAGGTTAGGACCGCACCCATCTGTAGTTACTACTTATTAAGAGCTCAAACTGAATGTTATTAGTTAAAGCTTTGTGAAACAAAAAGTTGGGGAGTGTTATATCAACCTTGAACTAAAGTTATCGAGGGAAAGTATGTAATGCAAGGTTAAAATCCACTATATTTTAAATTGATGGAAAGAAAGTATGTCCTCGTTCCTTTAAATGCATGCTTATATTTTTGTACGTAATGGTGAAGTTAAACTTTCTGAAGATATTCACTTAAATATACTTTAATATGTTGAAATGAGTACGTATATGTTTTATAGATCACTTGAATAAAAATTCAAAATGTTCGAATTATGTAAAATTTCAAACATGGATTAAATAATACATGTGTCTCTTCGAGATATTATATATCTGACAAAAATAACACATATATGTCTTTCTAGGCCTAATAAATAGTTAAAAATAGTTGCTTAGCAATTAAAACAACCACAATGGCACAGCACTTTAAACATTATCTTATGTGCACGAAATACAAGAAGTACGAAGTAATGTATACAATGCATGGAAAAAAGTCAGTTCAGTATACCTCTTTTTAACTAATCTTTGACTGTCCGAATGAGAGTGCTTCATACGGGTAATTGTTCTTCTTGTATAGAAGAATATCTGAAATCTTCGATTAATCATCAATAATATTAATGGATATATTTTGGATTAATCAAACACTCGTTTCTTCGCATACAAACACCTATTCGTTTACCTGAGCATGGAATAAATACTTGATATCACGGACTATATAAATGATACCAAAGATGAAAAACTAAGCGACATTGTTTATTCCGCAATGCATGCAAAGATGTGTTTTTCAGCAAATAACACGTATTTTCGATTATATACACAAAGTGGTCCTTCATGCATTAACACTGATTAAGTGGATTGTTTAAAAACTCAGGTAAAAAAAATAACGTCGTACATAAATACACAATTATATAAGCGATGACATAAGTAGACTTATTTAAACATATCCATATAAGGTAGTGTTCCCGACCTATCTAAAAATTGGTTTTCCACAAAAGGTGTCATATTTTTCTACTTTCTACTTTAACTTACAACTTAAAGAAGATAATCATGGACGTTCTACTGAGGTTCAGCATATGTTTAATGTTTTATCATTTACCAGCTGTGGAATGTAAGTATTTATAAACATATATTAACACAATTGCGATGGTAAACTGCTGAAATTTGTATCTTAATATATGTTATATAAACAATAATATAACAGATAGCGTGTATACATTTTTGCATGTTTATTTTTCTTATGATATGTTTTTTTTTCTCCTCGAAAAATTGATTTAGTTTCATGCGCTTTACTTTTAACAAATGAGTCGTTTCAGAAATGAGAGAAAAAAACATTCCATACATCTTCTTTAGCGTTCCTGATAATGAGAGAGAGAGTAACTCTTTGATTAACTATTTATTGAACTAATGGCACGCTAAACGTGAACATGTGCATGTATCTTATTAGCAGCAATTTTTTTGTTAAAAGAACAACAGTTTGAATATTTCTGATCCAGATTGTACAGGAGAGTGGAAGGTCCAACCTCAGTGTATACTTCTTTACAATACTTTAAATAGTCAAACCCATATTTTCTATTATCCAATCACCACCGTCAATGCACATGCATATGATCATTATGCAGGACGGACTGAACCTTAAACTATATTGGTTAATTGCGGCTCTATCAAATTTGAAAACAAATGGCACCCTCTATGCTTCCCAATGAAACCACTATTGGCTATCAAAAACTAAAGAGTGTATGTCGGTTTGTCATCATAATACAACTATTATTTTGCTTTACATAAATATAGAAATAAGGATTATTAATAACGGCCTAATTTATAACAAAACAATTTACGAAAGACATGAACCAACGACAACCTCTGAACTACAGGCCTCAGACTTTGGACAGGCACATAACGATTGTGGCGAGGTTCGACAGGTTTGTGAACGCACAACCCTCCCCTTACCTGGGACAGTGGTGTAACAGTACAACATAAGAACAAACTATAAACATCGGTTGAAAAAGGCTGAACTCATCAGAGTGGACGTGGACGGGTACTTATACATCCCAAAAAACAAAATGAAACAAAGTGCAGATCTGAGAGTACTAGCAGTATTTGACAGCTAGTTCAAAGCCAATAATGACTAATGAAAAAAATCATGTATCTAAGACTAAAATATTAATCAGTACACATCCAATGAATTTAGTGTCATTAACAGTCAGAGATAAAACATGACCTTGCGCAATGCCAAACTGTAAGTATCGACAGATTGTAGTACCGTTAATGTACATATGTGTAATGTTTAGTATGGTTTCAATTTACTCATAACAAAATCATTTTATATACCAACAAAAGCAATATTAAAAAATTCAATTACAATATTTAATAGGTAACCTTTTAGAATAAGTTTATTAAAGGATTTATAAGTTGACCTAGATCGTATCTTAATTTTCGGGCTCGGTTTACAACATCACCATAAACTTTAGGTTGTGCTATTCAATTTGAAATACTTTAGCTAAACTTGTACACCAAGTCTTTGTATCTATAAAATAATTTAGTAAAGGTTTCAAGTAATTTGTGGTAACGAAATCCCTGACTTAAAAATTGACTAGTAATACATAGATTACACATATTTAAAATCCAAAACGTCTCTACAGACACGAGCACTACATATAAGACGAGTAGTATATTTTTGCTACCAAGCAGACAATTATTGAGACAGATAAAGTATTTTTATATCATGCTCTGGCATATCTATATATCTGATGATCAGATGCATATATCACAATCCAATCACAAAAAAGGGAACTACGATGCATAAACTATGACAGCATAGCTGTTTTGTAGTTGTAACACATTATTCATTTTTTGATACTGTTATTTTTTGCATTTATATGCTTTGATTAATTTACAGTTAGACTGTTAGTGTCTAGTACGTAGAACCTGAAAAACACATTTAATTGGAAGTTCAATGATTCATACAAATTGGCTGCTGAAAATGTTGGTTTTGTTGAAATGACAGTTGCTAAAGATGCTCAAGCTAAGCCTTTACTTGGTCTTTTTACTCAATATGTTCTTTTCCGAACGTTGCTGTGTCAAGGTTCCTTTACCCAAATATGTTTCTGTAGACAAGAAAATAATGTCAACAGGATAATCTCATTAAATGTCAATTTGAATACTTAAACGATTTAAAAACACTGGTGATTGCATTTTAAAGCCTTGCAATATAGAAGTTTAATTGTTACTGTTCAGTAGCCATCATAATCATTATCCATTTTATAGATTCTTTGTGATGGCAGAATGTTAATTCTGTTAACTTATTCAACGATGAAATCGGGGGAACTAGAGCGCATACGCACCCTTTTGATTGGGAAATTCTACCTTTTAAGCATACAACTTTTTTTAAACCCCAGCAGAATAATTTGAATAGATATTAATCTACATGGTATACCTTTGCTAGCTTCATGATGATTGACCTCTGTATGCAGGCATGATTTGAGTTCATTGCTGTAGATTGTTACTTGTCCTTCAAACAACGATAGACACCAGTGGAAAGCAAATTATGATTTTTTTTAATCACTGATGTAGGTTGTTAGCAAGGACGATTCTAATTGATCGATATACATTCTCTGAAAGGTTACAAAAATGAAATTATCATACTGTAGGGGTCAGACGAGTAAGCGAGTAATGATAGTTTTGAATTTTAATCAGATTGCATGTTTCACAGTTTTAATTATTGTTGTTCTGCTTTTTCTTTAATGATGAGTAAAGAGATATATTTTTGGATTCACTGGAAATATGATATCATAACATCGAATTCCATGTGAAAGGGTCATCTTTCCTTTCCGTTTGAAATAAAATAAAATGTAGTAAATGATAACAGGACATTATTTCAAAACAATATTACGCAAATAATACACATTTGTATTGTATCATTCAATTTCATTTAAATTGATGATATTAAGTTTCATATAAAAAAGGTATTCAAATGGTATTGTTTACACGGTATGTTGAAATTTCCTCCGTCAGCAGTTACAATCCATTTAAAAACTGGTACAAAAGGTGTCCTATTCAACTATTTTTTACGTTAAATTAAAACTGAAGAAAAGAATCAAGGACGTTACGATGTGGTTCTGCGTACGTTTAAAACGCTATCACTTTTCAGTGGCGGAATGCAAGTTTATTTTAAAATATAAGATACTGTGCACTTTTTATCGTAATTCCAACTTGATAACTAAGCTCTTTTTTGGCATTATTGATGTTAAAGCTTAAAGTTAAATTAACTGTTCGCACTAGTGTCGCTACTTTTCAGGTGCCTAAATATGTTTGTAATGTCACAAATTCAATATGGTCAACAGTTAACATTTTCATAGTATTCATCCTTCGTTCTGTTGTTTTTTTTTTGTAGGTTTTTTTTTTGCGAAAGACACTTGCTGTCAGATACTTAATGAGATTTTTTTGTTATCGAATTGTCATATCGTCGGCGAGGTTTTCAAGCATGCATGAGATGTATACATATCCACAAAGCTCTGTTTGACTCGATAAAATTGAAAATGGAAATGTGGAATGTGTCAAAGAGACAACAACCCGACCATAAAGCAGACAACAGCCGAAGGCCACCAATGGGTCTTCAATGCAGCGAGAAACTCCCGCACCCGGAGGCACCCTTCAGCTGGCCCCTAAACAAATATGTGTACCAGTTAAGTGATAATGGACGTCATACTTAACTCCAAATTATACACAAGAAACTAAAATTAAAAATGATACAAGACCAACAAAGGCCAGAGGCTCCTGACTTAGGACAGGCGCAAAAATGCGGCGGGGTTAAACATGTTTTGTGAGATCTCAACCCTCCCCCTATACCTCTAGCCAATGTAGAAAAAAACAAACGCACAACAGTACGCAGAGTAAAACTCAGTTTAAAAGACGTCTGAGTCCGATGTTAGAATAGGAAACAAAAGAAAATAAACAAAATGACAATAATACATAAATAACAACAGACTACTAGCAGTTACTGACATGCCAGTTCCAGACCTCAATAAAACTGATTGAAAGAATATGTCTTCATCATATGAATATCAGACACAATCTCTCCTGTTAGGGGTTTAGTATTATACCATCATAACATATATGAGAAGAACATAACCCGTGTCATGCCAACAACTGGTTTTAGAATAAATATGTTTAATTCCGATGCAAAGACCCTATAAGTGAATCAATATTAAAGCCAAAATATGCAATCTTTAATGACCTGACAACAGTATCGTAACTATTTCCCGTCTTAATAAGTCTGTTTAAAGGTTTTGTTAGCTTTTGAGGTGAATACCGACATTTTTGTGCTTTGTAAAGAATATTACCATAAAAGAGTGGATGTGAAATACCCGAACGTATAAGATGTCTGCATGTTGCGTTATATTTACGAATGATGTCCTTATACCGATGATAAAATTTAGTAAATGTTTTGACTAGTTTATGATATCGAAAACCCTGGTGTAATAATTTTTCAGTAATATATAAATTTCTCTCGCTAAAATCGAATACGTTGTTACATACACGAGGGAATCGTACAAGTTGAGATATATAAACACCATAAGATGGTGACAAGGGAACGTCACCATCTAAAAATGGATAATTAACGATAGGAAATGAAAAATAATATCTTTTATCATAAATTTGTGTATTAAGCTTCCCGTTAATGTTATAGATATCAAGATCGAGGAAAGGACAGTGGTCATTGTTAGTATTAGCTTTATTTAAAGTAAGTTCAACAGGATAAATTTCTTTAGTATACATACTGAAGTCGTCATTATTGAGAGCCAATATATTATCCAAATATCTAAAAGGATTGTAAAATTTTTGTATCAGATGTTCTTTCGATGGGTCTTTGCTGATTTTAGTCATAAATTGTAACTCATATCAATACAAAAACAGGTCCGCAATAAGTGGTGCACAGTTAGTCCCAATTGAAATTCCGAAAACTTGACGATATACGGAATCTCAAAAGCGAACACAAATGTTATCAAGTAAAAATTCAAGGGCAGATATTGTATCAAAGCATGTCCAATTGACATAGTTTTTTTTGTTTGTTGCTACTAAAAAATGACCTAAAAGAGTTCAAACATATGT